AGAAAATAGTGTATCAGAAACATTTGAAAAGTCAAAAGAGCAAATCTCCCAACCGAATCAGTCGAATGATAGTCAGCAGTTGTGCACTAAAACTGTACTACCCAAAAGTATACGCTCCAACACAACTCCTACTGCTAAATACGAAAGTACCGTATGGACACCGATTACAATGATGGAAGACTTTCGATCACTTTCGGCAGAAAGTACGCCTGAAAGGTGTACGGAAACATACACAGATACAAAATCATCAGCTCAAAAACGGAAAATATCAGCAAGACAACTCATAAAAGACTGCAAAGCAGAAAATAGTGTATTAGAAACATTAGAAAATACAAAAGATTTACTCTCTCAACCGAATCAGTTAAATCAGCGTACGCCTAAATACGAAGGAGGTCGCGTATGGTCACCGATTACAATGTTGGAGGACTTTCATTCACTTTCGGCGGGAAGCACGTCTGAAAGTGGTGGTGAAGATACCAAACCATTACCTAAAAAACGGAAAATATCAGCAAGACAACTCATAGAGGACTGCAAGGCGGAAAATAATGTACAAAAAACATTAGATGAGACAAAGGATTTACTCTCCCAACCTAATCAGTCAAATGAAAGTTTACCTTCCCCCACAATGCCTACGACTAATTGCGAAAGCAGTCCTGTGTCAGTCACACCAAGTAGCGATGAGCATAGCACCTGCGCTCGCACCAGCATAGTGCAATGTAAAAACCGCAAAGGCAGTATTACAAGCCCAGCCTTAGCGCATGAATCGCCGCCAAGTGCGAAAAGCAATGCCACGGTAGAGCTCAACACAACAAATGAAAATGTAAAAGCAAACAGTCAGACAGAGAGAACGGAAGGAGAAGACGTACGCCACACACTGTCCGTCAAATCAAACCTCAGCAACAACTTAAAGGATCTTCCGATAGCAGAAGCAATAAGCAAAAGTGAAACTAAAAAGGCCTCTCCAAGCCAAACGCCCACCAAATCACCACGTTCTCGAGTACCACCAAAACCAATGTTAGCTGTAGCGCCAACATTACTTCTCCAAAATGCGAACCGTTTCCATCCATATCATAACTCTCATACAGCGGCGAATGTGGGAAGCACTCATAGAAGTAAACTGACCCCTGAAGGACAACGTCGAGACAGTCTGCTATCAACGCCCGAAAATAACTCAAACAAAAAGAGGGAAAATGTTAAATCGGCTGATAAGACAACGCCGCAACGCAATGCAACAACACGATCATCATTAATGCAATCACGACTCTCCTCACCAAGGTATCAGTCTTCATTCGGTACGCCAGCAATAACTACCGACCCAGCATCGGCTAAGCTAACAGCCGAAGAGGAGGCGGATATAGCGCGTAAACTGACGGAATACCGCACCAATTTACCGCCAGCGAAAACTTATGGCGCACATAAAGAAAATCAACGCTTAGTAAATTTGTATGGAGAAATATTGCGCTTGGAGTATGCAGAACGTGCAATTCGTCGCAAAGCCAAACAATTACGTAACACTCAACGCCTGAAACGCAAACTCCAAACCGAATCGAATCAGGCGCGTTGCAGGAAATCCCCAGAGCACAGAGAAAAGCCAGATGCCACGAATAGTAGTAACGGTAATAAAAGAAGTGATGGTGATGGTCACCGCCAGCATAGATCTAAACAGCAATCACAATATGTAAATAAATTTGGTGAAATCGAAAAATTAGTCGAAAAAGAAAAGGCCACGGAAGATACGGAAGCGAAATGTACTGTTCCATTAACGGCATCCACGGCTTGGGAGCCCAAAATGCCAACCGGTCACGAATTAATTGAACTCCTCAGCAAAACAAAGAAATCGTAGAGCAAATAAGAATGCTTTTCAAATGCATGAGTTGCTGTTGTTGTCGCAAGTAAATGCTTCGATGGGTGAACCAAGAAATTGTAAAGAAAGATTGAGCGTAAAGCACGAAATGTACAAAATATTTATTTAAAAGTTATCAGAACTCAGCTACAAAAATATTTTCCACATAAGTAGCCGGAGAGAAAGACATATTTTCAGGGTTATGTAGCAGTTAGTAGTATTATATTCATACCCTGATATACCCTAGGACTCCATGAAGTTTGCAATACCCAAAAGAAAACGACGGAGACCCTATAAAGTATATATACATAAGTATAAGTGTGTATATAAATGATCAGCTTGACGAGCTGGGTTAATTTAACAATGTCCGTCTGTCTGTCCGTATATAAACTAATTAGTTAGTAATTAGTTTTTTGATCCATCTGAAATTGTGTACATATCCTTTTCTCCCCAAGCAACTACTCATTTATCGGAGTCAATTATATCGAAGCACCACTGGTGGCCATTCAAATTTATCGACCAACAGCAAGTCCTTGTATGAACAACCCTTTATTTGTCAAAATATCTTTACGAAATTTTACTTGGACAACACTACAAAGTTATCTTCACGAAATTTACACTACAGTCGCCGAATATATGTATTGTTCAAATCGGATTACTACCGTATATATATACATATATACATATACATATATACATATATGTAATAGGTGTCAAAGAAAATGGTCGTTTAAAAAGAAATTCTTGTATCAAGTTTTTATATTTGTAAAGGGTACTGCAGCTTTGGTTCAACCGAAATTAACCTTTTTATCCTTATTAGCTTCTTTGACTTAGATTTGGAGCTGTTTATAGAATTTAGAATAGTTTTTGTAGCAACACCGATTAAAATGTAGAATTGCTAGCTTCTATTCACTACTGCTAACCTTTTTCCCCCCATCTTAAAAGTGACAGTTCATTGCTTTCAATAATGGCATACAAATTAGTATGCCATATAATGTATTCCATTAGCAATATGGAGTCTCCATCCAGACAAAAAAATTGTTGCTTTTCGAGATGACCAGTAAAAGCAAGAATTCTCCAGTTAGCTGCAGAGTATATCTCTTTAGTGTAACTAACCAAAACAGTCGGGTCCACGACCCATATTTTTACTCGATTAAGAACTCTCAACTCACAACATTCTTCAAAATTATTCCACCGTTACGGCAATAAGAAATACATAATGAATCAACATATGATGACCTACGGCGATATGTTTTGGGCATAACTTTGTCCTCTACACCATATATTTTATTTGGAAAAAAATTATAAAAACAATTGTCTCGAAGATTAGTTTTTTTATTTTTATAGTATTTTTCTCGCGTTTTACCAACAGTTACAATACTTTATGACATTTTACTGCCATTATTTTTTTAATAGCGAGTTTGAAACTAGGGTCGATATAAAATCTCTACGGGAACACTCATAATGATCGGTTGAACGCGCAAAATATTGATTTCTTACCCGTAAATATTACGAACGCTTTATTATTGTAAATTACCATTTAAACTACGCTTTTACATTAAGCCAACATTGTAATTATCTACACACATACGTACGAGTAACTCCAATATTAAGAATTAGTTTATATAGCTTAAGCTTATCAAGTCAATTTATATTTGTAGTTTAAGAAAAAAATTAATTTTTCTTATTTATTACAGAGCAATTAATATGTTTTTAAT